ATTGTTTTCCCAATGGCACTTGGCAGATGAGCACACAGCAAGTGCATTAGCTGGAAGTGTTGATTCCTAATGAGTCACTAACATTGCTAAGGTCAGTTTGCATCTTTTAGTGCAAAGAGAGAGACAGAAAGGAAGGAGTGGTTCTGAGAAGTTTTCTGCTAGAAAGCCAGTCTGAGAATGGCAGCCTAATTAGGTAGGTATTTGGTCATCGAGACACCAGTGTCTGAAAAATCTACTTACTATTCATCACAAATGGCATTAAGGCAAAAAAAATCAAATGTCAGTAGTGTCTTCCTGAACCATGTAACAAAGTAACTGTTTACTAGCAATACCCACATGAAGAATACTTCATCCATCTCTTTATTCAGTTACTTGGCAAGATTTCAGATTCTTCCAGGTTCCTTGAACACAGCGTTTTCTGTTGCCCTTAAGTGCAAGAAGTAAGCACTCCCTGTCAACAGAGCACTTGCATTTTCTGCATTAGCCAGACACAATTAACACACGTTCTGCAAAATGAACTATGGCCCCTCCCATAAAAGTTGATAAAAAACCAGTGCCTGATGAATTTCAGATGACAGCTTCATCCATAAAAGCACACATCTGAGAGGAAGACAAGCAGTTAAAAACCAACTGGTCTTCACAAGAGGCACAGCTGTAACCCCCATGAAAAGAAACACTTGGGTCTGTTTTTCTAAGGGCTGCCATCAGGCTTTCTCACACTGTCCAACCAGTTCTGCTGATTGGGAGAGCAAAAATACTTTTGCTTAATAACAAACCTCAGCTATGATGCAGCAATGTTTTCATTCTCTCATGATATTCAGGGAGAGTTTTCCTGGCACCACTATTCCCTTTTGCAGCTGGCCATGTTTATTTTCTAAACCAGTGATCTTGCGAGAAACTCATAAGCAAAGGAGGTATGCTCACGTCCCCATGCTGAACCAGTGCTCATTGAATAGACAGTTCTATTAAGCAACTGGTAGGCCAGTGCCAAAATCCCCTCTTGGATTCCTCAACAGCCAAAGCAAATGACAGAAAAAGGCACATCTTTAGGCTGAATATACTTACATGAAATCATGAAGCCCAGTTCCAATCCAAGAAAAGCAATGATTTGTCAAGGGGAATTTTAAAGACTTTGATAACTTCAGAATTTTATTCACAGCATAGAGACCCTATAATAAACTAAATTTTGTCATTACAGATGTTAAGAGCTTGTCTCTTGGCTATTATCCTTCAATGAATAATGAATCTCTCATGCTGGGGAACCTTGTGTATCTAGGAAACTTACAGCTTTGTATTAGAAAAATAAAGCAACGTGCTTCATTGCACTACTTTGAACAGCTGTGTTTCAAATTGTGCATATAGCTTTAATGACCACTGATAATACAAAAGCACCAGCCATTTTTGCCCAGGACTGTGGGGAGATTGGCAGAGGCTCATGGCCTAAGCATCTACAGGTGGAGCAGAACTGAAAGATTTGCACAATCTGAGGTGCTGCAGAGAGAAGGGCTGATGATAGGAGTGATGCCTGAACTAGCAGGTGCAACAGACTTACCATTTGAGACCTGCACATCTCTTATTTTGCCAAAAAAGGAAAAAAAGAAAGGAAAAAGAAAAAAAAAAAAAAGGAAGATTTTGGTGCAAGTCTGGTCCATTTTCAAGAAAAACTGAATGCAAAGTGGTCAGTAATGCCCTTGTGTAGAAGACAAATTCTTTCTGATTATTTTTCCTGCTGATGAAGGAACAGAATGAACAAAAGAGAGGAAAAAGCCACCACATTTCTTTAAGTAAACAATTAAAACAGTCTTAATGCTTAGGAACAGTATTGCCAAACAATCATTCTTGGATGGTCCTTTCTCCAGCTTCTGCAACAGGAACAGCAGGGTTAAAAAAATAAAACAATATGGGAATGAATGGGAGAACACCCTAACACAACAAGGATCCTTCAACAGTTGCTGTTTAATTTTCAGCTGATTGGCTTCTCCAGTCACAGTGACATTATGTAGCTAATCTGTTGTCTTCGTACTCTGCACCAAAATGTTGCTTACACTTAGCTCAGTAATAGTTCTGGCCAACAAACACACAAAGGAACAGCAAGGACAGTATATAATAAGAATTCAGCAGTACCAAGGAAAATTCTAATCCTATTAAATTTGGCAGCACAAATCTCTTATGTAACCCGTGATTTAGAAGACAGGCTGATCATCTGGAAATATTCCTGTGTTCCTCTCAGTACATTAAACAAAATTGGCAAATTTTCATTACAAATTTTATTTTTCACTGCATAATGTCTCAGAATGGACATCCCATGCTTACAAAACAATTTTAGCATCAACAATATGCTTTTACATATGACAATTCAATTATTTGGTGTATATAAGTTTAATAGCTTAAGTGCTTCTCTGCCAAGGCTGCCTTGAACTGTGGTGCATCTCTGAGGTTCATGAGGTGGATGGCTTGTGATCTATATTTAAAGCAGTGAGACTTCAAAATAATGCTTGGAAAATGAGCTTTTCTGAAAGTTGAGTGTTATAGCAAGAAAATTTACAGGTCTCAGGAACTGATACTCTCATGAAGATGAGGACCTTTGAGAGCTACAGATGAAAGATCCTAAATACGTAAAAACGACCACAAAAACAGAACAGTTTGTACCTACCATTAAAAAAAACCCCACCAAATCAAAACATGTCCTTTTACAACAAAAATTGATTCTAACATGCAAAAGCAGCTGTCTCGTAATAGGACACAAATGTAAAAAAGCTCAATTCACAAAATAATTATGAACCAAGCATCATATTCTTTAAATTCCTGTTGTTCTTCATCTTCAATACCTCCTTCAAAAGGAGGTATTCATTCAATGCCAATATTTACAGAGTGCAATAAACATTCAATTCATGCCAATTCATTCAAGAATTACAATGCCATGCTTTTGAAATAGGGATTTCCTAAAACAGATTCCGGTTTTAGGAAGAGAAGTTTTATTCACCGAATAGCAAAATCCAATCAATCTTACAGCACATATCCATAAAGGGTGAACAATTCAGGGATTATTGGAGAACCTGCCACCTGAAATTGTCACACACACTGCTGACAAGATTTGCTGTGAAACTTGAAGCCAATTGCAGACATTTTCTTCTCACCCATATAAAGGATATTCAGAGATACACACTAATATGGGAATGTCTTGATGTGTTTGGAAACAAACAGCCAGCACCAAGCTGTCACCAGCTAGCTAATCCATGTACCTCCATGCAGTTGTTACAGTAGGAGAAGCTTTTGCAATAAAAAGCAGCAGCATTCCTCTCTTCTTTGGGGAGGCCCAGCTCATTCCACTATCCTGACAAAGCTTCTCAGCAAATATAAAATGCCCAAAATAATTACCTCTTTAGCAACTGCAGGAAGCCAACACATTTGAATAAGCAAATTTGGTGATAAATGCTCAAAAATGGATAGATAAGGATGCCAGGAAATGTCAGTCAATTCCCTCTAAAGGGCTACTTGCAGCACAACTACTGCATGGTAGGAAGGCAACAGCAAAGAGGGTAACTATAAGCCCAGTGTTCTTTATTTTGCCCCACAGAAAGAACAGCAATTTTGTCAGTTTCCATTAGTCATGTAGTTTCCTCTGTAATAAAATGAGAACAAAAGGAAACCCAAAACAGAATTGGTTCTTAGGGAAATTCCCATTGATAGTTTTTCTGTTACAGTTGAAAGACAGTTGCAAAAGCGTGAAATTGCCAAGAGGAGGTTGCAAGGGAGTAAACACTTAAATAGGGCTAGTAAAAACTTCACCATGCATGAAGAATTAATAATTCTTTGCCCTAAATTAAGAATGAATTAAAAATTAATCATGAATTAAGAATGAATAATTATTTTTCTTAAAATACATGCAAAGGGAGTAGTTATTATGCTCCATAACAGAAATTGCTTTCATATGTAGAAACTGAGCAAAAGACAAAAGAATTGCAGAGCCACAGTCAGCCTCTCATGTTCAGAGACTAACTCCTTGTATCAAACCAGAGCTGAAAAAGTCAGCCTGCTTTGATCTTCTATATTTGACATATATAAGCAATTACATCATAGAATTCAAACACAGAATTTAAAAGACAGACTAACTTAGAAAATTATGAGACTGAGATATTTAGAAACTGATGCTCATTATTTTATTGCCTTGGGCCACCTGATACCATATGTAAAGTCTCCCTGGAGGCTAACAGGGGAATAGCTGATAAGTCTTAATGCCTGTCCTGGTTTTGGATGGGGTGGAGTTTGTTTTCTTCACTGTTAGTGGGTTATTGGGGTTTTGTCTTGGATTTGTGCTGAACACAGAGTTGATAATACAAAGATGTTTTTGTTACTGCTGAGCAGGGCTTACACAGAGCCAAGGCCTCTTCTGCCTTTTGCACTGCCACAATGGGAAGGAAGTTGGGGTATTTGAGAGGTTGGGAGGAGACACAGCCAGGACAGGTGAACCCCAACTAACCAAAGGGATATTCAGAGCATATGACACCATCCTCAGTGTACAAAGTGGGAGGAAGAGAAGGAAGGGGGGACATTCTGACTGATGAGTTTGTCTTCCCAAGAAACCATAATGGGTGATGGGGCCCTGCTCTTCTGAAGATGGCTGAACACCTGCCTGCCCATGGGAAGTAGTGAATTAATTATATGTTTCGTTTTCCCTGTTAAACTGTCTTTATCCCACATTTTCAGGCTTTCATCCTTCCAATTCTTTCCCCATCTGATGGTAGGGGAGTGAGGGAGCAGCTCTGTGGGGCTTGATTGCTGGCTGGGGCTAAACCGCAACAATGCTACAGAAAGAACTGGCAGGGCAACACACTAGATTTCACTAGCTTAAAAATTTGTGATTTAACCAACCACACTGTAGGCAGAAACAAACTACAACAGAACAATTGCATTAAAATCTGAAGAGCAAGGTCACAACAGTTTGTCATGAGAATAATTATAAATACTTATAGGCATACGACTAAATGAAGATACTTTAATGAGGTGATGCAAGTTCGTATTTAATCTACAAACCATTACCATGAAACAAGCAGAAGACTTGTGATAAGGAAAAAAAAAAGTATTCATCTCAAAGATCTGTGTTCTGATGATAATCTAGTTTCAACTTATCCACTTGCATCTTCTCCTTCCCTCTGAACTCTAAGAGTTGCTGAAAGCCATTACCTTTAAATACCAGTTAATATTAGTGCTAAAACAACAATAATCAAATATTATGTACATTTTAGGCAAGCAGGCTGTCTTTACCTCTCATTCCAAGTACTATCTTCCAGAAAGTAATATTCACAAATTATTTTAGAGAAAAGTTACTGTACAAAGACACAGAAGCTAAAATTTATAAAAAGACTAGTCAGTACAATTAGACAGATGTTTGTTTGTAGTTCTTCGTATCCAAGACCTTCTTGCCACACATCGAGCAGATGCCTATAAGCACAGAAAAAATGTGTACATTATTTTAAAATTATTAAAATCTTTTCTCAAAACCACAGTTATTATGTTTTTGTAAGCATCTTTTTCAAGAAATTGTCCAAATGAGCTTTTATTAGCAATCTATCTGTTCTTAGACATGTCCTCAACAGATACTACAAACTTAGAAGTAATATTGTAACTCCTAATACAAATTAATATGTGCAGTGTGTGTGTAAGCCTTCCACTGAAGAAAATAAGCTTCACTTCGAGAGCATTATTATTCACAATACTGCTGGAAGCCTCTACAATTTGCTGGAATGCCTGAAGGTAGCCAGGAAAGGCTCACTTCTGACAAAAGGTAAAAATGGTGTATTGTTAATTGGTTTACATCCTGTAGCCAAACGAGACCTGAGATGGACAGAAAGTAGCAGGGCTAAGAAAATACAACCACCAACAAACTGACAGCTAAATGGGGCATTCCCAGGTGGAGTGCTTCAGAGAACTGAGAAAGTTTAGAATATGTTTTCATAGAACTAAGGTATTTATAGAGCAGGAGTGAAAAACAATGAACACCAAGAATACTTGAGAGTTGAAGTGATGAACACTAATGTCCCACTGATGTCCTAAACTCTAAGAGTGTCAAGCCAAAAGACCAGAGCACCAAAATGTACATAAGTTTGGCAGAGGGGTGGATTGTCTCAATCTTTCCTTTCAAAGCAGAAAGGTCCTAAGTCTTTTATCTGGTAGGACCACACCTCAATTTACACAAACATTCACCCGCAGACAAAAAATGTCAAGTGGCATCTACTCCTGCTTTCTCCAAATTGTGTGCTTTCATATACTGACATCATGACTATCATATCTAGCATTCCATTAGGGAAGAGAACAGCAGGGAACATGGCACACGATTTACTCTGGAGACCAAAATTCAGCCCACTAAATATTGACTTCAGGTCTAAGCTAAGGATAATTAACTTGAGATTGCCTCTCAATTTCAGAGATATGCAAAAGCTGAAGCACTGAGCCGTATGACTGCATTTGCTTTAAAGAAGTGTGCCCTAATGACATCTTTGATGGTCAGAGCTAGAACCTAAAGCATTTAGAAAGTTCTTAATTTTATGAAGATAACAGGTTCAACCTGAAAAGATACACAAACAGACAAAGATCAGATCATGAAGTTCATCCAAACCAGACATAAATTTAAGACAGTACAAGGTTCTATTGAATGGGGTTCAGTCTGGGGAGGACCTAGCAGGCAACATTCCTACAGCAGGCTGCTAAACCACTGACTCAGTGACACAGCACATAATTATTGAACAATTAATTTCATAAACAAAACTTACTATTGGTGAGCTGTAGCTCTACACTCAAAAAACAGTTCACCTCATAAATAAAAACATAATAAAACTCTTTGGCATTAAATCATGTAACTGACTTCATGATGCTTTTTTCCATCTAGGAATTTTAAATTTAGCTAATATAAAAAGGGAAGAGGAGAGAAGCAATTGAGTTTTAGAACTTGTTAGATGAGAGTTCTCTATGCAATTGCCTAGATTAAGTTTCCAAATGTACTACTTCAGACACTGGAAACATTATAAAAGAAGCAGAATTACAGAATGACAAAGGTTTAAAAGAATCTCCTTCAGTCTCTAGTCCTGCCCCACTCAAAACAGCCAACTTGGATAGGGCTGGCTCAGGACTGCTCAAGCCATTCTCTGAATACCAGATTTAAAGATTTCACAACCTCTGATGGTACCTGCTACTAGAGTATTTGATCACCCCCAGACTGAAAAATCGCTTTCCTTGCATGTAATTAGAATTTTCCACATTCTAACCTGTGTACATTATTTCTTATTCTATTTCTGTGTACCTAAGAGTCAGACTCCATGTTCCCTGTGCCTGCCTATCAGTAGCTGAAGATAGCAATTAAATCTCATCTTAACCTTCTCTTCACAAATACAAATTTAAGTGTTGTACCTCCCCTCTTGCCCAAGCCAAAGTGGAGTATTTTGGCACTCAATGAAACTCACCTTTTTTATAGGCACATCCTTGACAATAGTGGGACCCTGGCTGGTGGACAGAACTCTTACAAATCCGACATATTGCAAATTTATTCTTTCCATAAGGATCAAACCTGGGAAAAAGGAAAAGTACTTTATTTATACTCCTTGAAATGAAGTATTTTTTCTGCCTCATCCTAAAACGTCTAAGCCAGAGGGTGCAGTCAAAAAACTCCAGCAAAAACTGTAATTTAGAAAAGGGACATATAAGAATTATTTCTAACAGGCTACACAAAGTATGCAGAAAAGCTCCCACTTTCCCTATTGAGAGACATTTCTTCCATCACAGACAACTTCATGAAAGCAGAACAAAAAGTGTTAATTTTTATTAAGGTACTACATGACTTTTAAGTTAAACATCTTCCAGCAGCATCTTGCCCCCTTGCAAACAGAAAGTCCTGCAGACATATAGGAAATGCTCAAGAGATTATCCTGGCAATATTAGCACAGAAAATAAGTATTCTCGGTACAGAAAATAAGTATTCTCAGCTTCTCTCCTACAAAAGCACCAAATCCTAACAATTCCAGTGAGAACTGCAGCAAAATACTCTATGACTGAGCAGAAAGCACCCATGAAATATGTGTAGATGTATTTTTACCAACAATTCAAATACCATAATCCCTGCAATTTTAATTTATTAAATGTATTTGGACAAGTTTGGAGTAGTTGCCCAGCTATGTAGGAAACAGGCCTCTGTTTGCTAACTGACGTTCTTGGCCAAAATCAGTATTAAGTACTCACCTTGCCTTCTTTGAGGTCAATGCCTTGTTTTCATTTAATTTGCGACCACCGCTTTCTACAAAGAAAAAAAAAATCAATAACCCTGTTCCAAGCATACTTTAAAAATCTTCATTTACAACTTTTATACATATCCAAATCAAGTCACAAATAGAGATAAAATATTCAGCATAGCATTGGCGACAGGGTAACAGAACACTTTATGCTCCATTTAAACACTCTACGTATTGTTCTCCCATGCAAGAAAGAAAAAAAATCCAGAAAACAAAACCAGACCAATTCAATACCAAAGAGTTCTGGACAAATAAATTCCCAATGCATTAAATCAGCATGGGAGGGAAAGTACACGACTTAATATTTAACCTGATTAGTAATATAAAGTTTTGGTCTTAAGAAGGTAACACAGCTCAGGTGCCCAGCTGGCTTTATAATACCTCAAAACCAAGCTGCTAAACCTTGCTGAGGTTACCTGTAGTGTTTCTTGCGCCATCTTTCCATGTATCAGGAGTGATCACCGTTCCAAGCTTCTTCTCACCTACATAAGGAAACATTACAAAGGAAAAAGGTAAGAATCATGGAGTCAATTAGGTTGGAAAAGCCCTCTGAATTTGTCAAGTCCAACCTGTGACCAATTACCAGCATGTAACTAGACCTTGGCACTGAGTGCCACGTCCAGTCTTTTCTTAAGCACCTTCAGGGATGGTGACTCCACCACCTTCCTGGGCAGCCCATTCCAATGTCTCATCTCCATGACTAGGAAAGAATTCTTCTGAATGTCCAACCTAAATGCCCCCTGGTCCAGTTTAAGACTAAGTCCTCTTGTCCTGTCACTGGTAGCCTGGCAGAAGAGGCCCACCCCTACCTGGCTACAACCTCCCTTCAGGGACTTGAGGAGGGTGATAAGGCCACCCCTGAGTCTCCTCCTCTCCAGACTAAAAAACCCCTACACCCTCGGCTGCTCCTCATCACACCTTCTGCTCCAGACCCTTCACCAGCACTGCTGCCCTTCTGTGGCCCTGCTCCGCCACCTCAATGTCTTTTTGTAGCGAGGTGCCCAGAGCTGAACAGAGCACTCGAGGTGCGGCCTCACCAGTGCCGAGCACAGCGGGACAATCCCTTCCTTGGCCCTGCTGCTCACGCTAGTGGTGATACAGGACAGAATCATTTAAACGATGCACATCGCTACGCTCCACAGGCGGAGAATGACAGATCACACAGGGGAGAAGGACAGCTCACACAGTGGAGAATGACAACTCACACAGGGGAGAAGGACAGCTCACACAGGGGAGAAGGACAGCTCACACAGGGGAGAACCACAGCTCACACAGGGGAGAATGACAACTCATACAGGGGAGAAGGACAGCTCACACAGGGGAGAACCACAGCTCACACAGGGGAGAACCACAGCTCACACAGGGGAGAACCACAGCTCACACAGGGGAGAACCACAGCTCACACAGGGCCCTGCCGGGACCGCCCCCCGCGGCCTGCGCTGACCAGCCCGGGACCCGCGGCTGCCGCTCCGCTCAGGGCAGCCTGGATCCCCTCAGGCAGGGCAGGGCGAGGCGAGGCGGTCGGGCATCCCCCTTAGCCCCGTACTCACACTTGTCGCACACCATGGCGGCCCCTCCACCGCCGCCGCCGCTTCCGGCACCGCCCCGGAGGTGCCGCCGGCCGGGCCCCGCCGCCTTCCGCTGCCGGGCGGGGTTTGGCTTTTCGAACAAACACTGCTTCCTGCCCCAAAACCCTCCCCTTCGGCCCCAGCCGGGGCCCGGTGCTCTGCCCTGCCGGGCGGGGGAGATGCACCGGGCGTGCCGGTGCCGGTGACGGGGCGGGCTCGGCGCGTTCCCGGTGCCGCTGCCCGGACGCCATGAGGGAGGCGGAGGTCGGGAGGCTCCTGGCTGCGAACCTGCTCCGCGCTCTGGCCGTCGTCCTGACCGCCGTGGCCCCGGCTTTCTTCCTGGACGGATTCAGCGTCCTGGGAACGCACCTCACCTGGCTGTGTGTTTGTTCTGTCTGTGTTGCTACCCTTAATATAATCTTGCACTTAGTCCTTAGACCAAATCAGTCTCCTAAGAGACGTTCCTTTGCTCACAAGGTAAGATTTTTAAAAAAAATTCTTACGTTGTTACCAGTCAACCCAGAGGGGAAGGAAATTCTCGATCTCATTTGAAATAATCAAATGAAAAAACCCCATTTTTTAATGGTGAATTCTCATTTTCTATCAGTGAGTTGAGTGTAGCATCTCTTGAAACAGATTTTTCAGTATTTTCATGATGTTAAGCTTTCCCTACCTGTAAGTAACCTGTTCAGGTGAGTGAGTCTATGCTTTCCTGATTCTTGCCAATGCAGTATTGTTTATTGTCCCAGGAATTTGCGTGGTGGCAAAACCTGGCAAAATTAAATGGCACAGAACTAATTTTGTAGTCCAGGCCTGGCTCATTTTCTTGGTAAGTGGATATACCAGGAAGAAATGTCATCACACATTTCTCGTGTGGACTTGTAAGTTTGTAATAACTTTAAGAGGAAAAAAAAAATAAATTCAGAATCTGACACATAAAAGAGATACTATGCTATATTTCAACAACTGAAAAAAAAATCACGCTTGGAAAGGTATCAAAATGCCGGCATTTCCTTGTATGATGAAATTTGCATACAGAAGAATCTAAATTTGGGAGAAGCTTTTTGTAGTTACAGTTTGCAACGGGGAGTGTTAAAGGTATGAATCCCAATGAAATGCTTTGGAACAGAGTGGTTTTGGAGCAGCACACGACTTGTCCAGCAGTGGGGGAATACCCCAGAGTTTTGGAGTCGGGGGAATAGTCTCACTCCTGACCTGCTGAGCCAGGCAAGAGGTAGTGCTCTGAGGTGTTTCTTAAACGTTCAAGCGATCTTCCCTGCCAGCATCTCTTTGTGTGCAAAGCTTGTGTATAGTTTTGCTGACTGAGGAGGATATGAAATGCACAAAACCGTGATGGAAAGCAACTATTGTAACCATCCGTGATTTAAAAATGAAGCACACTTCATGTTCTAGGTGAGATTTCATCCTAGGAAATAAAAATAGATAGGAGTAAATATAGAAAAATAAGGGTTCAGGGAAATGACAAATTCAGAACAGACCTTACCAGAACTGTTTATCAAGTGCTTTTGCTTCTACATGATATAGTGAGTACCCAGAAACTGTTGTTTAAGTTCATAGAAAATTATGTGTTTTGCAGACTTATAGAAAGTTATGGATATTTTTCAAATATATTCAGAATTTAAGATGCCAAGTTCAAAATGTAGTTTTAGTTAATGCAATTTTGAATCTTTATGTAGCAGACTTTTTTATATTGTATGTTTTCTTGCTTCAAATTTTTTTTTTCACTTTTTGTGAGAGTTGCTTTTTAATGAATGGATATCACAGATGTAAAACAGAAGTGTAAAAATGCCCAATAAAATTACTTCTGCTTATCTTGCATTTTCTGGTTATATTTTCTGTATGTTTGCCCTGTTTAATGGGATGCATGAAAAAAAATGTAGGTGGAGTGTGATGTTTTTAAATTAACTATTTCAAGTACTAATATATGGAAAACTGTTTTGAAATATGCCATGCTATTATATTGTGCTTCAGCTGAAATTAAAGTAGTAATCAGAGTAAAATACACCTGATAAGATTTAGAGTGTGTGTGTTACTTATGTTCTGTTTTGAAGCATTATTCTGATATTTTATTGCTCTTTTTTAGATATCCAGATTTCTAAAATGCTGTATATACTTTTTCATGTCTTGCATACTATTTCATGCGATTATTGTTCTTTATGGAGCACCTCTCATAGAGTAAGTCAGAATACCCTCTCTTTCTCTAAATATTCTAAGGGGGAGCTCTCCCTGCAGATGGTATAAATATTTGTGTATTTTCTGATACACCGGAAGCTAAGGGATAAGCTCCTAGCTGGGGGAAGAACGGTGGAAGCCAGCTCTTAAATGAGACTTCTGTAAATAAAAATTGTAATACAGTTACAAACAACTCGGTTTACTTTAATTTTTATGTTAAACATATGGGCCCAAATATTTTTTGTAGCTTTATTTAGTCATTTTCCCTGTACAATTCTAAACCACACATATTGTCTATCTTTCATCCTTTTGATGTTACTGTTTTAACTTTTATGAAAGTTTAAAGAAAGAAGTGTGAAGCAACCTGGGTTTTGAGAGATATACTAAGTTGTTGACTAACAGTAGTTTCATGTAGTTTGGTTTCATGGTTGCTGTCACAACTGGAAAAATTGAATAATGAAGTAAATATCCAAGAATACTTCAGTTTAGAACTAATGATCTATGTGAAGTACACCTGTGGTTTTTTAAAAATATTACAGGTCTCAGCCATTTCAAATAATTACTACATCTCACTCTTGAGATAACAGCAGAACTCTTTCCAGCTTCCGTTACTATTCTACAGAGTAAGAAAAAAATATTTTATTCCTTTATATGAAGTTTAAGAAAGCACACATGCTTTCACAAGTTGAATTAGAGGGACTTTGTTCTTCCTAAATCTTGGAACTTTTAGAACAACCACCTCACTTAATTTTGTAATATTCTTTTTCTTTTTGTAGGTTAGTGACTGAGACATTTTTGTTTGCAGTTCTTCTGTCTACATTCACTACTTTACAATGCTTGTGTTTGCTGGGACCAAACATACAGGCATGGATACGGGTATTTAGTAAAAATGGGTAAGTCCTAATCTAAAGTTTCTGATATTTCTCTGAATAGAAATGGACAGAATTGGTGCAAAAAATATATAATAGAATTTTTTTGTAAAGAAAACTTCCTGGATGATGGGTGGATTTTGTATTTGTGATTACAGACCTATGAAAGCTCTTCTGACAAAAAGATTTATTTGAAGACACTGATTCAGAAAAATGGCTTTTTGTTTTTGGTGTTCAGATGCTAAATCTCACTTTATATGTGTTTGAAGGAAGTAATGTTTCCAGCACATATTCTACTGGAGTAAAAGCATTGTTCAATCCTGTATGATGGTTGTCAAATAAAGGGGAGACCTGACACTGAGCTATGCATGGAGAATCTTACACATGATCCAGTAGTACCTTCGTAAATACAACTTTTAAAGTAGGAATAGGAAGTCAAAACAAGCACTGTTTTAAACTTGAGTATAATGTTGAAAATTATACATGACTTACTATGTTCTTAAGTATGTATTATTAACCCATACTATTTTCAGTTTCAAAGAAAGCTGTTTTGAGTGTCAGAGTTTTCAAGCATTAATTTTTACAGGAGTATGTTTAAAGTAAAACAAGCCTTCTAATCGCATTTTCACCTCCAGTGGCAGCCATGGCTTTAGCATGTATCAAGGATAATGTATTTTTCAGAAGATTTCCATTTCTTCTGCCTTTTTTCATTCCATAAATAATAGCATGTTGAAAGGCTGGGACACTGGAACATAAAGAGGCTTCTATGCTTGAGATTCGGTGAGATTTTAGTATTCATTCCCTTTTAAAAGTTCATAATGGCAAAGTCTCATCTCAGAAGACAGTGAAAGGTTGTATTACACTGCTGACCTATGGAAGTTTTTTTGGTTTGCACTCCTGTAGAGGAGGAGACTTTAATACTGCTTTCAGGTATTAAATTTTGGTTCATCTCAGTTGTCAACTTACTGAAAAATATCTTGGATCCTTATTCAAGTCATTTACACTTTTTTTTTTTTTTTTCAGTGGCAGTGTAAATACACTGTAATAAAAGCAAGGAGTTGTTTAGACAAAATAAATCATTGCCGATTACTTGGTCATCTTTGTAGGTTTTGTATCTGGGAGTAACAGCTGAATTGAAATAACAGATGTATGACAATATCAGTTTGTCTTTGTGCCAGATAGATTTTGAATGCCTGTTGATTTATTTTTTTCCTAGTTTGGATATTAATGCAGTTTCAGCACAATCATTGCATAGGAAACAGTTGTCTTGTTTCGACACTTCTGCTGTGAGGACTTGTTAGTACTTCTTACTAGTGAGCCATGTCACGTTATTTGAGAAAAATGTTTATTGTTGATGTTTGTTTACACTTTGAGTATAGACTACAAAGAAATATTGTAACAGGTTTCTTTATGGATTGTAGCAAGCTGCTCATTTAAAAATAATCCTGTGTTTTTTCATTTGACCCCGTGAAATTGGAACATCTTAGGTCTGTGCATGAGATGAGTGTAGACATGATACATTAAAAGGTGTCTAACTTAACCATGTGGAATGAGGTGGGACTGGTTAAATGGAGGAAAAGGATGGTTAGGTAAAATCAGTAGAGCTGTTTTCCTTGAAAGCAGAGTTTAGGGAATTGAATTTCACTGGAACAGTTAGCTTGAAAGTTCTAATCGAGTGTATAGCTTAGTATGAAATATATCTGGGTGCAATTTAGACTTAAGTAACCTTAAGCCTATGTGCACATAGAATATGTGAGAAAAGTAAGTCTATGTCTTCTACATCACAAACCCTTCCATTCTTAGTTGGTTATAAATAGGGCCCTTTTCACTAATTCTGCATTTGGAAAGGAGTGGTCTCACATCAGCATCTCTGGGCTCCTTACTCTGACATCTGGAGTTGTGACTGATGTCAGGGCCATGACACTGATCATGTAAAGGCTACAGAAAGGGTTATCAGCACTAATGGCAGCATGTGGCTGTTTTTTAAATAGTGTTTCAGTAACTTAGCTGAAGTAGCCTCCTGCATAAAAGTCTTTAAGAAA